ATACCTTTTCTGATTTTAAACCAAGCAGTGTTCCTTAGCGCTGTTTAGACAATTGTTTCTTGGTCTATGTATAGGATATGTGTGAGTACAATTAAGCGTTCTGGAACTCCCATTATTCTCAGTGTTAGCCATAATTTACTATGACCCACATAGTCAAATGTCTTTGCATAGTCAAGAAAACACAGATAAACATCTTTCTGGTATTCTGTCTTTCAGTAGAGATCTATCATACATCAGTAATGATATCCATTGTGCCATCATGGCCTCTTCTGAATCCAGCTGTATTTCTGACAGTTCTCTGTCCTGTTTGAGCCATTTTAAAAAACTCTTCAGCAAGATTTTACTTGCATGTAGTATTAATGATATTATTTTATTATTTCCATTCTATTGGATTACTTTTTTTTAAAAAAATGAGGACAAATACTGATCTTTTCCAACCAGTTGGTCAGGTAGCTGTCTTCCAAATTTCTTGGCATAGATTAAGGAGCAAGTCCAGGGCTGTATCTGTTTGTTGAAATGTGTTGAAACCTTGGTATTCTATCCATTCCTGGGGCTTTATTTTTTGCCAATGCCTTAGTGCAGCTTGAACTTCTTCCCTCAACTACCATTTGTTTTTAATCATATGCTATTTTCATAAATGATTCAATGTTGGCAAATTCTTTTAAGTACAGTGACTCTGTGTATTCCTTCCATCTTCTTTTGATGTTTCCTGCATCATTCAAGATTTTGCTCCTAGACTCCTTTAGAATAGCAACTCAAGGCTGGAATTATATTTCTGTTCTTTCAGCTTGAGTAATGCTGAGCAAGTTCTTCTCTTTGGTTTTTCTAACTACAGCTCTTTGCAGATTTCTTGATAATACTTCGTCTTGAGCTGTCCTTTGACATTTTCTGTTTATCTCTTTTACTTCATTTCTTCTCTTTTTGAAAAAAATGGTTTGCATACGAAGTTCATATGCATTGTGTTTCACACTATTCTTCATTCGCATGATGTTTCTTACAGTCATTCTCATGCATTATATTTTATAAAATTAATCACCATTGGACCTTGCCCATCATTATGCTGCCTTTTCTCCCGAGTCCTCTCCCTCCACCACCAAACTGTGTAACCCTATGGTTTCATCCCTACCCATCCTCAGCCCTCCCTCACTTGAGTTCCTATACATCTTTTACTAGTTATCCTTCTATTTTTACAATAATGATCTTAATGCAGTATTTGTCCTTAAGAGACTGCATTAGTTTACTCAGCATAATGTTCTCCAGCCCCTCCAAAGTTATGTAATATTTTTCAAAATTGTTGCTCCTGAGTGCTCCATAGTATTCCATTGTGTGAATCCACCACAATTTCTTAATCCATTCAGTTGTGGTTGGACGTTTGCTCTATTTCCATGTTCTTGTGATGGTGCTATGAGCATTCGTGTACAAATCTCTGGGTCTCAGTTCTAATTTCCTTGGGGTATATTTCTAATGGCGAAATAGCTGGATCATACGGAACTTCTATATTCAACTTTTTGAGGAAACGCCACACTGTCTTCCAGAGTGGTTACACCATTTTACCATCCTGCCAACAGTGTATAAGAGTTCCCACCTGTCTGCATCCTCTCCAACATTTATTGCTTGCTGCCCTACTAAACTTTGCTGCTGCTACTGGGGTGAGATGGTATCTTATTGTGGTTTTTACTTGCTTCTCTCTCATTCCCACTGATTTTGAGCATTTCATATGTTGGTTGCCTACCTGAATGTCTTCCTCTGTGAAAAGCTTTCCCACGTCTTTTTCCCATTTTGCTATTGGGTTATCAGTCTTTTTGTTCTGGAGGTCTAGGAGTATTCTGTAAACTTTTGTTATGCTATTGGTAAATGTTTTTTCCCAGTCAGTAGGCTTTCTTTTCACCCTCTTGGAAAAAGTTTTTGATAAGCACAGAGATTTACTCTTTAGAAAGTCCCATTCATCAATTTTATTCTCTCCAGATTTTGCATTTCTGGCTGTATTTGGAAGTCTCTTCATACCATACACTCGGCCTTCTAAACTTGATCCCAGATTGTCTCTGATAAATTTTATGGTTTTGGGATTTACTGCTAGGTCTCTGATCTACTTTGATTTGATTTTTGTGTATGGTGTGAGAAGTGGATCCTGTATCAGCTTTCTGCAGGTAGCCGTCCAGTTTTACCAACACTATTTCTTGAAGAGGTTGTCATTTCCCCATTTGATAGATTTTATTTCCTTGTCAAATATCAGCTGACCATAAATAGATGGGTCCATTCTGGTTTTTAATTCTGTTGCATTGGTCAGTGTAAACAAAAGCAATCTACATGTTCAATGGAATACCAATACAGATACCATATTCATTTTTCAAGGAGATCAAAAGGGAAGTTGTCAAGTTTATTTGGAGGAGAAAGAGACCCTTAAATAAGCAAAGCACTTTTAAAAAACAAAAATCAAGTGGGAGACATAGCACTCCCTGACCTCAAACCCTAGCACACAGTGGTATTCTCCAAAATATCATGGTTGTGGTACAATGACAGGCACATAGACCAATGGAACAGAATTGAGAATCCGGAAATCAAGACGTCATCCCTTTGTTTTGATCTCTCTGTGTTTTAGACTGTTCTCAGAGTCTCCTCTGATATCCATTATGATCTTTACTTTCTTTCTGATTTTGAGAATTTTTACTTTCTTCATTGATGATATATCCTTGATGTAAGCCAACAAGTCATCTGTTATTCAGTCATTAATGTTTAATCCATCAAATCTATTCTTGAGATTTCTTTTAAATTCACATGGCATAGATTCAAGGTCCTATTTTGGTTCATATGGATGTGTTTTAATTTTCTTCAACTTCAATTTGAACTTGCACATGAACTGTAAGTGATTTGTTCCAGAGTCAGCCCTGGTCTTGTTTTGACTGCTGATTTTGAACTTCCCTACTGACTTATCCCCTAGATGTATCCAATCCAATTCCTATTAGGTCCGTGTGCATAGTGACTGTATTTGCAATGAAAAAAAAATAATGTAATTGATTGTGTGAAATGCTATCATTCCATGTCAAGCCTCACTTCTGTCAACCAGTCTGTTTTTTCCAACTACCAATTCTTCTTTGTTTTCAAATTTGGAATTCTAGTCACCAATTATTATTAATGCATTTTGGTTCATGTTCAATCCATTTCAGACTACAAGAGTTGGTGCAAATCCTCAACTTTTTCATCTTTGGCTTTAGTTGTTAGGTGTATATAATTGAATAATAGTTATATTAACAGGCCTTCCTTGTATGCATATGTATCCTAACAGCATTCTACTTCAAAGTCTTCAAATAGACTTTTTGACTATAAATGCAACACCATTCTTCATCACTTTTTCATTCCCATCATAACAGAGAATATAACTGTCTGATTCAAAGTGGCCAATACAAATGAATATACATTGTTGTTGATTTTGTTTATTGTCAAGTTGAAACTGACCTATAGCAGAATATCCAGCAAGTTTTCAAAAGTAGTAAATTGCAGGAGAGGAGATTGCCTGTCTTTCTCTTGCAGAGCAGCTGATGGATTTGAACTGTGTACGTTTGCATTTTGGCAGTGTAATTCCTTACTACTAAGCCACCAGAACTCCCTAATGAATACATGTTCTTGTTATGTGCCATTGAGTCAGATCTGACTCATAGCTCACCCTCCAGTGGGTTTTCAGAGGCAGCGAATCACACAGGAGGAAATTGCCCATCCTCCACAGAACAGCTGGTGGATTTGAACTGTGTGCTTTTGGGACTGCAGGACAGCTTCTTACCACTAGGATACCAGAGCTCCCTAGTGAAATGTGGGACCACAGTGTACAGTTGCCAGCTCAGCAGGAGACCGGAGTTGAGTGTGGAGTCAGGTGAGAGTTTCTGCTTGTCTGAGTGTGGACCAAAAGCCCAAGATGTGAGCGGGGACATGAGAAGCACCTCTTCCGGTCTAGTGTGTGCTGAAGGTGTCAGCTGGAACGCGAGGCCCTATCCTTCGCAGAGTTTCTGCTGGCCTCGGAGGAGCATAGGCTATGGGCTAGAAATGTTGCTTGCCAGAACAGGGGATGGATGTTTCCTGGTCACTGGAGGTGTCCCCACTAATCTGGAGCTGATTGCAGGCCAAGTACAGTATGAACACTCTGGGAGGAAGTGCTGAGAACTTCTGGCTCCTGATACAGGACGGCATGGGTGTCGCCTAAGGTAGAGCTGAGTCTTGAGAGGTAGGTAAGGGATTTGGTTGGGTGGAGTTGAGGGAATAAGTTCCACTAACTGGTGAATTATGGGGATGAATAAGCACTTGAGCCAAAGGAGGAGACGCGACCTTCTCAGGTTGTGTGAATACCGCTGCTACTACCACCACACACTACGTGTCCCTCCTGCACTGTTTACGGCTCTACTCTGTTGCTTTCTTGATTTGATATTTCAATTCAATTTTGCAACCTTTCCAGCTGCTGTGGATGCCACTGCCACCAACATCATTGTCTCCCTGGTTCCCACACCAAAAGGAAAAGCAAGTCTGTCTTGGATGAAATGCAGCCAAGGTGCTCCCTCAAGGCAAGGCAAGTGAACCTTGGTCTCACGTACTTGGGGCCGGTTGTCAGGAAAGGGAGCCCCTGAAAAAGGTCATCATCCTGGGGAGGAGTGGAGGATCAGAGAATGAGAGGAAGCTCTTCAACAAAATGGACTGACGTAGTGTCTATAATAATGGGATGATGCAGGACAGGGCAAAGCTCACATCCATTGCTCATAGGGTAGGAATGAGGTGCAATCAACTTGACAGCATCTAACAACATATGCAATTGTGCAAACTGGACACCACAAAACTCCAGGCAGTGCCATAATTATGCCAATTCCTAGATGTAGGCATATTTCTCTGTTCCTTTATTTTGTTCTTATTTCACTCATTATTTATAGACTAACAAACATTGATTGATCATAGGGTTTTTTGTTTGTTTGTTTTTAAAAACAAACTCTGGACAATTTTATTGCAGAAAAATATTTCATGATTTATTTTTCACCAATCTGTTCTGGCATGGTTCTAATGATATCAGAGTCACCTGGATCAATGCTAGCCAACATGCATACTCTAGTATTTCCATATGCTGTGTCCAGGGCAATATTATTGCCACTGTAGTGATGGACACTGGTTTTGGCCAACATGGTGTAGTACTCGATTTCAGTTTTCCTCAAGGCTGGGCAGTTGTGGGCGAGGACGGCCAACTTGTTTTTTCCTTGTCTGTTCATCTTCTGAATCTCCTGGTATCTCAGCATGTATTTCCCACTTCTCAAAATAAGTTGGAGCCTGGAGTTGATCAGCTCCAGGGACCTTTTCATTTTTTTTGCAGCCACTATCTTCTCGTCTTAGGTGCCGGCCAGCCCTCCGCCTAGAGCTGCCGACAAAAATGGTTGGGAAAGGATAAAAAAATGATCTTTTTTATGTATTATTTAAAATTGTTCTTACTTGTGCAATTTTAAAGTATTAAAGCCAATATCTCGCTTTTATTTTCTCCTGGGAGAGGTCTTGACAATAGGGATATTCTTGCCAATGTCAGATGGATCTTGGAAGAAAGCAGAGAATGCCAGAAGAATGTCTATCTGTGTTTCATGGACAAATGCAAAGGCAAATTTGACTGTGTGGATCACAACAAATAGTGGCTAACCTTGAGGAAAATGGGATTCCCAGAACACTTGATTGTGCTTATGTGAAATTTATACTTGGACCAAGAAGCAGTACTTAGAACAGAGTAGGGAAATGCATGGTTCAAAATCAGGAAAGGACTGTGTCTGGGATGCATCCTGCCACCATACCATTTCAATCTGTATGCAGAATAGAGAATTTGGAAAGCAGGGCTGTATGAGGAGGAGTGTGGCATCAAGATTGGAGGAAGATTCATTAACAACCTATGATATACAGATGACACAACCTTGCTTTCTGAAACTAAAGAAGACCTGAAGCGCTTGCTGTAAAATGTCAAAGACTGTAGTCTTCAATATGGATTGAAGCTCAACATCAAGAAGACAAAGATTCTCACCACTGGGATGATTGACAGAACCATTTCATATGGAGAAGAGATTGAGGTTGTTAACAATTACAGCTTGCTTAGATCCACAATCAACACTAATAACACCAGCAGTCAGGAAATCAAAAGATAGCATTGGGAAAATCAGCTGTCATGGACCTCTCCAAAGTACTGAAGAGCAATGCTGTCAGTCTATATACAAAGCTATGCCTAATCCAGGACATGGTCTTCTCAATTACTTGTTATGCTTCAGAGATCTGGACGATGACTAACGATGACAGAAGAAGAATAGATGCCTTCGAGTTGTGGTTCTGGAGAAGAGTCTTGAACATACTATGATTGCCAAGAAAACAAATCAGTCGGTCTTGGAGAGGGGGAATCCAAGTCTCTCTTTGGAGGCTAGGATTTTGAAGCTCTGTCTCTCTCACATGCTTTGGATGTGGCCAGGAGAGTTAAGTCCTTGGAGAAGAACATCATGCTCGGAAGAGAGGACAGATAGCACAGTAGAGGAAGACACCGGATGAGATGGATTGATATAGTAGTATCTGGGGAAATGGGGGTTGGTATGTTGGAATTAGTGAGACTGGCTCAGGACAGGGCAGGGTTCAGAGCTGCTGTCCATAGGGTCGCTATACATCACTGGTGTCTCAACAGCACATAACAACCACACACTATATTGGTTGTTTTTTATTTAAGCCTCTTGTTTAGAGTCAACAAGATCTTGGGAAATACCTTTGTATTTAAAGTTGGTTGTTACTATATTTTGAAGGAACATTCCTTGAAATGGTACAGCACTCTTCCGTCAATATGCTGTCCTGAGGTAACCTGGGGTTGCAGAGATACTGAACCTTGTGTCATTGGGGTGTTGAATGCCATAACAGTTACCCAAGGTTGACAGTGTTTGGTTTACTGCCAGTTTAAGACAGGCTTGGAAGCAGGCGTGGCATTCACTTCCTAAACAACATGCCTCTAGAAACTCTATGAACTTTGATAAATGTCGATAGTTATAGAAAAGCTTCAGGCTTTTTGTTCATAAGATCGCTATGAGTTGTGCTTAACTCCATGACAATCAACAACAAGAACAACAGCAAAAGGAAAAAATTAGTAAAATATTCATCAACAATAATTTTCTTAAAGTATTCACTATGCCAAATGGTAATAGACATAAGTAAATACAATTCTTGAGAGCTCTTATGGGGTAGAGTGCATAGAGTTGCATTGTGAGCTCAAATCCCATGCTTCTCTGGCAGTTGGGGTCAATCAACTGCCCTGAGAGAGAAGAATGAACCATTTCTTCTATGTGATTTATAGTCTTGGAAATCTGGTGGAGGGTCAGCCCTGGGGCAGAACCAAGTTGATAGCACTGAGAAAGAAAGAGAGATGATCCTTAATAATTTCAGAATGTAATAACTTAAGACAAACTTTTCTATTTAATTCACATTTATGAATGCTAAAAATAATTTTGAAGATAATATGATATAATATTATGTTAAATATTCCACATTTTATCATTATGGAAATAAGACAAAAAGGATACAACCCTTTTCCTAAATCTTTCCAGCTAATGCATTCTCTTTAATATTCTTTTATCATTAATATTGTCATTTATGTACATGGTGTTTCATGCATGTACATTGTGTTTTAGACAATCTTTCATTTAAATTCTCTTAATATTCACATTAAGTATTAATCTATTTTCCCATTGATATAATAGAAAATTTTTCTTGAATTTGTACCTATTTCTGTAATTTATGCTATTTAGCATAGTTTTTAACATATAGTAATAAATACACATTTATTTCAGAAGACTAATACCATACCACCATATAAAAACACATCTAGCACCACAACAAGATAAAGGTAAACAACCCAATCACAAAATGGGCACAGGAAGGAGCAGACACTTCACCAAAGGAGACATTCAGATGGCAAACAAACACATGAAGAAATATTCAAAATCCCTAGCTCTAAGAGAGATGCAAATCAAAATAACTATGAGATATCATCTCACCCTGGGAACAAGAGCAAAATTCAACAGGGCAGTAAATAACAAATGCTGTTGAGGTTGTTTAGAAACTGGGACACTTATCCACTGTTGGTGGGAGTGTAAAATGGTGCAACCACCCTGGAAAGCAATATGGTGCCTTCTCAAAAAGTTGGGAAATAGAAATACCATTTGACCCAGCAATGCCACTGCTGGAAATATACCCTAAAGAAACCAGAACTGCCACCCAAGCAGATATATGCACACCCATTTTATTGCTGCATTGTTCACAATGGCAAAGAGATGAAAACAACTCAAGTACCTATCAACAAATGAATGGATATGAGAAACTGTGGTATATTCACACAATGGAATATTATGCAGCACTGCAGAACAAGCAACTCATGAAATATTACACAAAATGGGTGACCCTGGAGGACATTATGCTGAGTGAAATAACTCAGTCACAAAAGGACAAATACTGCCTAATGTCACTATTATAAAATAGGACTGACATCGGCATTGGAAGGAAACTAAGAAAAGAGGTAAAAAAATGTATGCGGCATTGAAACAGATGAAGGAAAGAACTTCCTAAAAGGAATATATGATTAGGTATTATTTTCATGATGAGAGTTCAGAATAAGTTCTGCATAGTAAGTGGACTGGGGATGCTAATTGTATAACAGTGAAAGAGGTTTTCGGCTTTTGGGGTTTTTTTAAAGAGAAAAGCAAACTCGGGCCAGAGGGGTGGGCAGGGAGGAAAATGTACAACAATCAATGAATGGGAATCCATGTTCTCTATAAACTTTGATTAAAATCTAAAAAAAATGCATCTATATTGAGTTCCTTCTAGAATGAAAATGAGTGTTTAGATTTGTTACCATGATTATGGGTGATGGTTTACCTGAACATATGATCATCAGTCACGGACATGAGAAATGGGAGTGGAATAGGCTCAACTTTTCAGCCTAAAAATAAAGGAATTCCTCTGTAAATGTTCTAAGACATTGAGATAAGGAAGAAGCTGATATTAGCTGAGACATGACTGGTTGGTTGGATATTATGTCCCAAACTGTATGAGGGTAGTACTATTTTTATTCTGATTTATTGATGAATAAACAGAAAAAAAAACCACCCCACAGCAAAATTACATTTATACTCATTGGAAGAGATTCACACTTAGATCATACTTTATTTTAGTATGTGTGGAGGTGAGGTAACCCATTTTGACAGTGAATTCAGCCATTATTCCTGCGAGAAGATGAGTGAGGCGAATGTGCCTTCATCCCAGACATCTGAGTATTCTAAGGATTACGGCCTAACCCAACAGCTAGCAAATGCTGAATAGAATGAAAGTACAGAGAATGTGGGTCAGAAGCAAGGGCTGAGGGAGATAAGACAAGAGGGAGGACACAGAAGGCAGAAGTAGGAAGTACCTCTGTCCCCTAGGTAGATGTTTAGCATGGCCCTGGGGCCTATGCTTTTCCTGCTCCGGATTTACTGCGTGAGATTAGATATGCTAATCTTAGCCTGTAGAATCTACAGACAGTACATAAATTAAAGATCTCAGAGTTAAAAGTACTTTGGGGGTCTCTTGGCCATATGTCCTTTCCTGGAGGGAGGTCTACCCCTTTGGAACGTAACTTTCTAATAAATCTATCTTTTTACCTTAGAAAACACCAAACTTTTGAATATTTCTGACAAGGCATGGCGTATATGCAACTGAACTCAATTTATGCACAAAAAAGCTGGAGAACCTCAAGTTAAGAAGAGAGAAGGAAGGGAAAGAAAGCTCATATGTTTGAGTGGTCAACCAGGTTCTCTTTAAAATGACTTCTTTGGTGGGCTGGTGAGTAAGGAGTTAAAGTACATATACAAAGGCAGATAGTTCAAACCCACCAGTTGCTCCATGGGGAAAAGCTGGGCAATCTCATCCTGTATGATTTATAGCCTCTGAAAACACACTGTGAGTTGGTTCTGACTGCATGGCAATGAGGAGATACATTTGTATATCGATGCTAGATGGGTGGAGAATTTCTTATCTTACTTTAATACTAAACCCCTGTAACTTGGTGCATGCTAAGAGAGTTTCCTTTCCTGTTGTAGAATTACAGGAAATTGTATGAGGTGATTAAATCCTAAAGTGTGCATATAAGTGAAACTAAAATCACTACTATTTCAAGGATCTTAAATTTTCTTTCTGGTGGTCTAGTGTGTAAGGAGTTGTACACCAACCCAAAGCATGAAATTAAAATCCACCATCTGCTCCTTGGAATAAAGATGGACAATCTTTTCCCCTGTGATTCCCAGCCTCTGCAAACCCACTGGAGGTTCAGCTATGAGATGGTTCCAACTCGACTGCAATGAGTTTGAAGGGGTTTTGTTTTTAACTTTTCTTTCTAGAATGCAAATCTGATCACATCGTACTCCTACATACATCATTTCCGTAGATCAATTTCTCGATGTTAGTGTCATCATGGATTATTTAATGAAGAGCCACAAAGCAACACCCCTCTCAGTGGGAGAGTGTCAAGGGCACAGTTTGAATTGGTGGTTTGAAGATAAACCTGATTGGGCTCTCCATTATACAGGTTTGGTTACTCATGTGGGCTGTGTCGCCGAATAGTTGCATCCTTAGTCACTCTACATAACATAAGCCAAGGCTACTCAGACATCAGTTTAAATGAATTTACACTATAGCAAAACATGGCCTGCCAATCCAAGCGCTTGCGGAGACGTGCCAGGAGGGAGTTCTCTGGACAGCGTCAGGTATAAGACTTTTCAGAATCTGTCCCTGTCAACATCCAGGGTCATCCTGTCCAGCACTCATGGACATCACACATTCTCATCATTTTAGTAAACTTTGGCTAGTATAATTCTATGTCTTTGCACATTGTTTGCACTTCCTGTTTAGAATTTCCTTTCTTGGTTTCACTTTTTAGAACCTTTCCTTGATAATCCATTTAGAGCTATTTTTTAAAATGCTAGTTTGTTTACAAAATTCTAATACATTGTTTTCACACCAGATCCTTCCCATTTCCCTCACCCCCCATAAAATTGTGCAACCCCATAATTAAAACCTCCCACCCCCCCACATCCTTAACCCTCTATTTCTACCCTCCCACCCCTTGGATCCTCATACTCACTCTAGTCACATGATTTACCTATTACCTTTCTCTGAAGCACAGTTTCTCCTTTTGAGCTTTTAAGTTTTTTTTCTCAGCTATAGTGCAGTTGATTATCTATACAAATGAAAGAAGGAAAGATTTTACAGGAGAAAATAGGGAGAAAAGGGTTTAGAATACACAACAAAGACTAAAATAGAGTCCAAGAATAAAGATGAAGTAAAGGATCAAAACTTGTCTTTCTAGTGTCCTGGATTGAATTGTGTTTCCCACCCCTCAAATATGTGTATATGATGGTGTGTAATGTAATAATATAATGTGGAAACTATATCATATTCCTTTGAGATCTAATAAACTCAATAGCTATAAAAGGATTAAAGGTGGAATATAAAACCTCTTAATCTCATCACTGACCTGATAGATCAGATAAGGGACCTTTCCCTAGGGTATGACCTGTAAGGAAGACCTTTTATCTCAATGGTGGAGAGGGGGCACCTTAGCTCCACCAGGAAGCTTTTAGGGAGTGGAATGCACTGCACTCAGATGTCTGTGCGGAGAAGTTGCTCAACACTGGAAAAAGGCAGAGAATCATGTCAATCTCCAAGAGGCCTGCAGACGTGAAAGAAATTAGGACCTTTCTCCAGAATTTACAGTGAGAGGGCCTTCCTCTAAGTCAGTACCCTGAATTTCAGCTTCTACTTTCCTAACCTGTAAAAGAATACATTTCTGTTTGTTAAGGCCATCCCCTAGTGGTATCTCAATTATAGCAGCACTAGGTAGATAACTTATTAGTTATATATAGCTCCTTATTCTCCCAGCATCCATAAACTCTAACATTATCAGATTGCTAACTAAAAGGTTGGCAGTTCAAATCCACCACCTGCTCCATGAAGGGAAGATGAGAATTCTTTTGTGAGGATGTTGTTTGTTGTTGTTTAGTGCCGTCGAGTCGTAGACGACTCATAGCGACCCTATGAACGAATGGCCTGAGCACTGTTTGTACATAGAGTTTCCGGAGGCAAGCCTTGGAAACCCCACAGAGGGTCCCTGTGGGTTGTGCTCTACTTGACACACAAGGGGTCAACCAAGAGTTGACAACTGACAATGACAGAACACCTGAAGTCACTGTCTTTTAACCTCCTCAGTGTTTCCTCTCAGCTGCTCCCAACCCTCAGTCAGACCTCCCTGACACTCATCCTTCTCTTGTGATCACAGCCTTGACTGTATCCCATCTGAACTCTTATCCTGTTCTTATCATGATGAGAATGTCCGACTCCTCCCTGCTCTCAGTTGCATCATAAAGTGTACATCATTCTCTTCCTCATAATTAATCTGATTATGAAGGTTCACATGTTCTTTCTTTTCTCCTTTTCATATCCAAGATGGTGGGGAAAAGGAATTCCTCAACAGAACAAGTTTTTATTTGCTTATTTATTAATTCCTTCTCACACCCCTTCTCCAGCACCCTTCGTTCCTCAGCAGGACCTTGTGTAGTTGATTAAACAGAAGGTACTTGTCAGGAGCTGCATAATATGCTTAGGTTAGAGATATAATCATTCTTTGAATCTTCCTTTCAAAGACTTGTTTTGCCGTCTTCCTTTTACAACTCCCCCCCCCCATGTATCTGTTTCTTATCTTGTTTCCTTTGCTGTTCTTTATCTGACACTTGTGCAACAATTTTTATAACAATACAGCAGCAGCTGGGTCACATGTTCTGAAAGGATCTTTGTCATGAGGTGACTATCAGCCATGTTTAGGGAGCTCTTCTTGGGCCTAGTTTCCCTAGAAACATTTTTTTGTGAAATTGATTGGCTGGGGTGGCTTCTCTTTCAGATTTTGTTTCCCAGGAAAAGTCACTGGTATTGAGCTCTAAGTTCAGGCAGCCTGTTGGAGAGATGATTCCAAAGTTTACCTGTACAAAGGCCAGGCAATGAGATAGAAAAGGAAATGAAACACAAAAGGGGTGGATTATTAAACAGGTCACCACTGTGACTGGCCGAAGCTCAGGTCGCATTGAGGAACTCTAGGAAACAGTGCAGAACATGTATCTTAAGGTAATTCCCTAAGAGGTGAGGGCAAGGGGAAATCCACTCTTACGCTCACTATTTGCCACTGGCTGGGGGCTGTATATAAGGACACCAATTCATGGAGCTTCTGGATCTTCCTGCAGGTAAGGCACAGGCTGAGAGGGCTCCTGAATGCCAGTCTCCAGGAGTTAGAGCTGGTTAGCATCTTGAGTTTGTTGTTACGTGCCATCGAATCAACTATAGCTCATAGCAACCCTAATGAGCAATAGATCTGAACCTTACTCTACCCTGCACCATTTTCACAATCTCTGTGGTGCTCAAGCTCATTGCTACAGTCACTGTGTCAGTCCACCTTGTTGAAGGTCTTCCTCTCTTTCTCTGATCCCTTCAGCTTTCCCAGCATGATATCTTTTTCCAAGGACTGGCTCCTTCTGACAACATTGCCCAAAGTATGTAAGACAAAGTTCCACTGAACATTGTCTACAAGGACCATCCTGTTTGCACTTCATAACTGATGGATGCATGGATATGGACAGTGCTAAATAAGTACAGGCACGCCACGTACATGGAGACACTTCCCAAAGGGAGAAATAGCTGACACACACAAAATATTATTCTTATTTTATGGTTTTCTTTCTAGTTAAGATATATATGGCAAAAATATATGTTGCTGTTATGTGCCATCGAGTTGACCATAACTCATAGCAACTCTAAACAATAGCTCTGAACCCTGATCTATCTTGAGCCAATCTCACTGTCTCTAAAACACCTACTCTAGTTAACCTGTGTCAATCCATCTCATCCGGGGTCTTCCTCTCCTGCACTGCCCCTTGACCCTTCCAAGCATGGTGTCCTTCTCCAGAGACTGGTCCCTCCTGGCAACATGCCCAAAGTATGTGAGACGGAGACTCAAAACCCTTGCCTCCAAGGAGCAGATTGACTTCACCCTCTCCAGATCAGACTTGTTAGTTTCTTGACAGTTCGTGGTATGTTCAATACTCTTCTCCAGCACCACAACATAAAGGCATCAGTTCTTCTTCTGTCTTCTTCAGTCATTGTCCATAGCAAGTCATTGTGAAGATAATGGCCTGGGTCAGGTGGACCTTAGTCTCTAGAATGACATAATTGCTCTTTAGCACTTAGGACAGGTCCCTGACAGCAGGTTTTTCCCAATGCAATTTGTCTTTCTTGACTGCTGGTGCTGCAAGTATTGATTGTGGAACCAAGCAAGCTGAAATTATTAACAATTTTAAGCTCTTGTCTGTCTATCATGAGGCTTCCAATTGGCTCAGTGATGAGAATATTCATTTTC